GGATTCAATGGAGTGAGTTGTGGAGGTCAAGGGTGGGGGATGCTTCAGCACAGCACAGGAGGAGGGCCTCTGTGTGAGAAAGGAATGGCTTACATGCATTGGGACTCATCAGCTCAGTAATGCATAAGGATAATGGGAGACATGACTGTCACTTTGAGAAAAGAGAGTTTCAAATGCAGAAACAAGGAAAACTGTTACAAACTCTGAGCTGTTATACTGGAACTGGAGGCCTCTGTGTGAACTCTTGGTTTTCAATCTACGTACATGTGTATAGATGTAGATGTACATGCTTACACGTGCGTGTGTTGGAATGCGTGCATGTCATATTCGAGCAGATTTGGTTACAACAACATTCCAGTAGCTATAAGCACACCTAGCCCCCGGATCCTGTCTTTTAAATACCACTCTCCACTAAATGATTCCTTCCAGGCCTCGGGGAGGGCAAGAATACAAGAATCTGGCTCAATTTGTGGTGTGAATAATAAGACTCAGTTCAAAAATGATGGGGAGATGTCAGAAGGACACAGAAGATAGCTTGAAGGGGCTCCCACTTGATGGTTTCATTTTATTGTTTTCAGTTTTGAGATATTCCTGACATGTAACATAGTTATGATTAAGGTATACAGCCTGATGTTTTGATACATGTATGTATTGTGAAGTGATTACCACAATAATGTTAGGGAACATCTCCAACCCTTCACATAATTACCATTTTGCATGTGTGTGGATAACTTCTAAGACCTACTCTCTTGACAACTTTCAATATGCAAAACAGGGTTGCTCATTATAGTCACCATGCTGTACATTAGATCCCCATAACTTCATCTTATATCTGGAAGTTTGTACGCCTTGGCCAACATTTCCCCCAGCCCTTGACAACCACCATTCGAATCTCTATTTCTAGACTGGCTTCTTTTGTTTCCACATATGTGAGAACATAGAGTTTTTAACTTTCCCTGTCTGACTTATTTCGGTCAGCATAATGCCGTCAAGGTCCAAGCATGGAGTCTCCAAAGGCGGGATTTCCTTTTTATGCTCGAGTAACAGATGTGCATGTGTGTATGTGTGTATGTGCGTTAACACATTTTCTCTATCCATCCATCCCTCGACGCACACTTAGGTTGTTTCCATGTCTCGGCTCTAGCAGCATAGCAAATCTTATAATTGGTGTTACTCCTTTAATTTTATTCTTCTTTCTCAACATAATTTGGCTCTTCTAGTTTCTTTTCCTGTCCACATAAATTTCTAATCACATAGACTATATCTACAAAAACTCCTGCTGAGGTTTTTGAATGGAATTGTATAAAATCAATTCATCCATTTGGAATTCACCAGCCCGTGAACACAGTATCTTTCTCCGTTTCTTTAGGTCTTTTATTTATTTTCCCAGTTTTTTTTTTCTTTTTGAGCTTTCAGCATATAGGTCCTGCATATGTTTTGAGAGGTTTTCTTGGGAATCTATTGTAAAAGGTTAGTGCACGTGGCTTTTTAAAAAATTTGTTTGCTTGTTTTGTAATTGTTCATTGCTGGTACATGGATAGAAATGTGCTCGATATGTTGCATTGGAATTGCATGTGGCAACATTGCTGAATGCACTTATTAGTCCTAAGAGTTTTAAAGGTACATTTCATGGGATTTTTCTGTGAGGATAACCACATCATCTGTGAATCGGAGCCATTTCATTTCCTCTTTCTCAATCTGCAAGCCATTTATTTGTTTTTCTTGCCTTATTGGAGTGACTTAGACTTCCAGTAAAATATCTCATGTTGGGGGCAAGAGCTGATATCCTTGGCTCATTCCTGATCTTAAGCGGAAAGTGTTTAGTTTTTCTCCATTAAGTAGGATGGCAGGCATGGGCATATTTGTAGATGCTCTGTATCAGGTTAAGAAAATTCCCTTCAAACTGAATTTTGGGTGGTGAACACACGATAGAATATACAGATGTCAAATGATAACGTACATCTGAAAATTATACAATTGTATTAACCAATGTTACCCCCAATAAACTTAATTTAAAAAAAAGAAAGAAAGAAAATTCCTTTCTACTCCTGAATGTTTTTATCATGAATGGATGTTGAATTTTGTCAGTTTCTTTTCTGTATCAGTTGACCTGATCATTTGGTTCTTTTTCTTTGGTACACTGATATGGTGGATTGATTGATTTTTCAGTACTTCACCAGCTTTGTTGCATTTCTGCGATAAATCCCACTTGGTCACAGTGTATGAGTTTTTACATGTTATTGAATTTGATGTGCTAATACTTTCTTTGTCTGATTTTGTTATCAGGTTATAAGCTTCTGATAAAGAGATTCAGGAAGTGCTCCCTCTCTTCTATTTCCTGAAGGGACTGTGTAGAATTACTATTATCTTCGCAACAGCTTTGTGGGTTTTTCCAGGGAAATCATTAGGACCTGGAACTTTCTTTTCTGAAAGTTTTTCAATGACAAATTTGATGTTTTAATAGATACACATCCATTCAGATTCTCTGTTTATTTGGAGGTTAGCTTTGACAGTTTAAGTCTTTCAAGCAGTTGTTCCATTTTACTGAAGTGGCCAAAATGCAGGTGTGTAGAATTATTCATAGATTCCTTTGTATTTCCATGGAGTCTGAAACATTTTA